TTGTCGGGACCAAAGGCTTGCGCGGGTCGATGAAAGGAAGGTCAGGATCTTGCCCGCACTTTCTACACTCCGCTACAGAAAGGATCAGTCAGTTGAGCTGGTATGCGGCTTGTCGACAGAGTTTCGCCGGTAAGCTACGGAAATGGCCGGGGAATTTGGGGCTTGGGGGACTATGGGGCGGGTGATGCAACATACACGCCATGGACGACGGGAGGGGGTTGTTGAGACCCATGGTTAGTCGTGACCGGGCTTGACGAGGTATCCTAAGTCGAGGAGGGCAGACGAAGCTGGAGGGGAAGGAGGAGGAGGTAGGAAGAAGGCTGACAGGGGGGCGGGGTGAGCGAGGATGGAAGAAGTGTCGTGGAGTTTAGGTCGTAGGTATAGCCAGTTAGTTGTAGGAGGATCGGGTGGGCGCAGGCGCAGGCGCGAGTGAGTGATGGCGGGTCGGATTACGTAGTGGGGGTCGGGGCAGTTGGGTTCCCTCTCGTTTGCGGCACTAAGTCTTGGCTGCGCAGCTCAACCCAGATGGGTTTGATCAAAGGCGTGGCAAGATGCTGAGACATAAAGTAAAGCTCGATCGAGGAGGAAGCCGGAGGGCCGGCACGCGCGTCGCAGGCAGGTCGGGCTTCTCCCGAACTCGAAATTTGACGAGGCTCGCGGTCGCCAGGTATCTACCTAGGTACTCACAGAGGTACCTACGGGACAATCCCAACGTCACGTCAGACTGGCACCCACGGACTTCAGAGGCGGAAGCTATGGGCAGCAGGCCGCCCATCATTCTGCGGGGAAAGAGCACCCGACACCGCTGTACGCTGCAACCTAAGTCTGCTGAGGGAAAGAAGCGGTGGCCGGTGCATCGCTCCGGTGTCACGCTGAGCACGCTCCCCGCGCACGATGCGCCCTCTCCACTACTACTAGTAACTAGGTACTTTGGTAAGGTACCTTAGGTGGTCGGTAGCGATTGGTGTGCTCGCTTCTCGTCACTCAGATGGCACCAAGAGAGTGCTGGACCGCCGTGTCTCGGCCCCCACCCCTGCCCAGGCCATCCCCCCTGTGACCTTCTGCTCCGGCTGGGGTTCGTCACTCTCTCGCCCCCCCTTGTTCTCCATATGCGAAAGAGCCGAAGTCCTGTTACACGCAACCTCACTCCCGCCTCCGACGACAAGACCAACCGAACGAACATCCTACCGCGCCACCCATCAACGACACAGCTGACGAAACACGCTTACCTGCTGCTGCTGCCTCGACTGTCATCCGTACGGTTCGATCCTCTCCACCGCTGACTAGCCATCACCGCCGATCGACGTCGCATCCCGACCGCGGCCCACGGCCCACGTGAAACATCGCCATCAGCATCACTTCCATCGCCTGTCCCCCCTCCTCCGTCCACCATGTCCGAAGCCTACGAACGCGAGCGTCAGAACAACGCACGCCTCGACGAGCTCTCTTCCAAGATCTCCGCCCTGCGCGGCGTGACCGTTGACATCTACGACAACGCCCGCGCCCAGGATGTCATCGACAACACCGTGCGTCTCCCGTCCCCCCCGCGGCTTTGTCTCGCGACACTCGGATACAGCAAATCCTCCGCTGCCACATTCTGCCTGCCGCCCCTTCTTCTCTAGACACTCTCAGAACAGCTGACACAAGAAACACGCAGTCCGACACGTTCTCCTCCATGTCCACCTCCCTCAAGGGATCCGCCTCGCGCATGGGCCGCATGGCCGCCTCCGGGAACAAGGTTGCCATCTTGAAGCTGTCGGGCATCATAATTGGTGTCTTCATCTTCCTGTATTACGTATCCAAGCTGTTCTTCTGAGCCCATACGTGAGTGCTGTGAGCACGTGCGACTCGAGAGGCCGGCTCGAGATGAATAGCGGAGGACGAGATGGCATGTTCAAGATATTAAGATGATGAGGTCGGGGCATTGCGGCTTAGTCGCTGTGTGTAGAACGAGAGGGCGATACATAGTCGGAAGGAGAATGGTGGGATTGAGTCCACACATGCATGGCACGGAGTCTAGGATTGCAACTTAAGGGGTTTGGGTCTTCACTTTTTTCGTGTTCCAAAAAATAAAATACCTCTAGCACCAGGAGTAGCAAAGCGGGTTTGGTTTAAATTTCGTCATTTTTGCAGGTTCCTCGTTGTATGCTTTGTCTAGACAAACGCTCGCCAACCCGTAATTCGCACATGGCCGGCTGCACTTCACCCGGGCAATGGACTGCTTCACTCCACTGTCTTCCCCTGCCCACATCAAGTCTGCAACTCCCCCCTTGAGCCTGGTGAGTCTTCTTTTTTAAAAAGCCGCAAGACCACAAAGCTACTGCCACACATTGGAGAACAAATCATCACTGCCCCCGCCGAATCCACCAGTCGCCGGCTTCGCCGTACCGTTGCCGCTTCCCGTTGCCGGGCCCGTGCTGCTCGCCCATCCGCCAAACTCCTCGTCAGCCCGACACCTTGGGTGCCGTGCTGAAGCCGCCTGCCGCACCGGGACCAATGGGCGGTGTTGGGCCGAAAACCCTCCCGAGGCCACCTGAGGCGCTGCTGGGGCGCACCCCCAGCCGCCCAAAGTCGCCGGTTGACGCCTTGGGCGCTTCGGGCGCCTTGGCAGGCGCAGCGGGCTCAGGGGCGCCCCAGGCGCTAGAGCCCCAGACATCGGAGCCGGAAAAGTTGGAGGATGAAGCAATGACTGGCGAGACGGCTGCTGGCGCCGGCGACGGCTGAGAGGGCTTGGGCTGGGCGGAGAGGTTGAAAACAGAATTGCTGTTGACAGGAGGAGAAGTCGCCTTGGGTGGCGGGGTCGAGCTCGACACGGGGGAAGAGAGGTCGAAAAGGTCGCCCATAGTTGAGGTGGATTGAGCGGGCTTGGGTTGAGCAGGGTTGGCGGTAGGCGGTGCAGGCGAGCTCGACCACCCAAAGCCGCCAAAGCCGCTGTTAGAGGACTGCTGCTGATGGGAGGAGGCTGCCGGCGCGGAGGGCTTGGAATCGAAGAAGCTGCCACCACCCAGCCCACCGAAAGCGTTCGAGGAAGCCTGGTTTGCGGGTTTGCTGGCCTGGGGAGCGCCAAAACTGGCGAAAGGGTCTGCCGCGGCGGGCTTGGAGCTGGTAGTGTTGGAGAAGCCGAGGTTACCAAAAGCGTCGTTCATGCCTCCTAGCGAGGACTGTTGCTGCTGCTGCTGCTGCTGCTGCTGTTGCTGTCCGAATCCTTGTTGCTGGAACGTCGGCGAGGCCATGCCACCGAAAGATCCCTGCTGGGCATGTCCGCCCTGCTGCTGCTGCTGCTGAGCTTGTGGCCGCGGTGCTGTGGCGTAAAGAGAGAGAATCGATTGCTTCAGGTCCGGGCGCGAGTTGGCAGCCGCGGCGCCACCAGTACCGGTAGTGCTGGCAGGGCGGGGAGGTGCTGCAGGTTCGCCGAAGAAGTCCAACCCGAGCAGCGAATCCTTAGTACTCGTCGTCTTAGGGGCGGCCGGCTGCGCCTTGGGTGGTACGTTGCCGGTGCCGGGTCCGGCAGAGCTGGGCCCTCTGAGGCAAATCGTCGCCGCCGATCAAGTCGGCCTGCGGGGCAGGGATGTTCCTCGGAGCTGCCGACTTCCCGACAGACGCCTTGCGAACCGACTCCCTCCTCTCAACGACCTGCTTCTCCTTGACAATGCTCAGTGGAACGTCGTCGTCACCGTCAACGTCGAGAGTCGCGGGATCTGGTATGCCGCCGTCCATGACCCATCGCTTAAGTTCGTATTTGGTGCGGATAAAGTTTTCGATCTTGGCTTCGGAGGGTACGTGGCCCGGAGCGAGCTTGGCCTCCCAGTATTTCTGCGCGCGCGCGTTGCCCCAGCTCAGAATGCTCTGCAGTTGCTCATCGGTCCAGGAATCGAGGTCAACAGACTTGACACGGCTGATATGGGTGCCCATGCCTCTGTGGATGCCGGAGCATCGAATGCAAACGAAGACGCCGAGGTTCCAGCTGGCCCATCGAGGATCTGCGAGAGCAACCAGTTAGTCAATCGTCGGTCGCATAAAGCAATGCAGTACTCACGCTTGTTTCTCTTGCAATCAGCACATATCTTGTTGCATCATTTCAGCAGACTCTATCGTCTGCGTATCTCG